ATGCAAAAATCCTCAACAAGATACTGGCAAACAGGTTGTGGAGAAACATACCGTCTGCCTCGACCTTTCTCTTTGACTTCTGTCGGCCCTGGGCCGCGTGGGAAGGAACCTGGGCGACACTCAAGTCCCACAATGGTGACGGGTCTGGAAGTTACCACACTCGAAGAAACACTTTGAACTCTGGTATCTACATGGAATGTGCAGGCAGTGACCTTTGAGGATGTGGCTGTGAACTTCACTTTGGAGGAATGGGTTTTGCTGGATTCATCCCAAAAGAAGCTTTACAGAGATGTGATGTCAGAGATATTTAAGAACTTGGCTGCTATAGAACAAAACTGGAATGGCCAGCAAATTGAAAATCAGTGCAAATGTTGGAGGAGAAATCTAAGTGAAGAGATAGAGGAGTGCTGTCAATATAAATTATGGTATCAACATGAAGAAATGTTTTTTGGGACTCCAGATCATAATGTGAACATGAAGCCACTTTTTACAGAACCAACTGAAAGGATTACTTGTAGAAATCCCCTAATTCTTCCATCATCACTAAATGTGCCTTTCATAACTCACACTGCACTCAAATCATATGAGTATCAGAAATTTGAAGAGAAGCTGTCTAACAAAAATGAACATGGGGAAACCTGCAGAGATTTCCAGTCCTTTCAGAAGGATGCAAGAACAAACCCTAGAGAGAAACCCTATGAATGTAAGCAATGTGAAAAATCCTTCTCTGATTGCATTAAAGAAACTCATATTGGAGAGAAGCCCGCTGTATGTAAACAAGATGCTAAAGCCTTCAATACAACCAGTTATTTTCAAATTCATGAAAATAATCACAGTGAAATGAATGTCTCTGTATGTATACAAAGTGGAAAAGCTTTTAATTTTCACCGCAGTGTTCAAATACATGAAAGGGCTCAGACTGGAGAAAAACCCCATGTATGTAAACAGTGTGGGAAAGCCTTCACTAATAAATTTTCTTTTTGCAGACATTAAAGAACTCACAAAGTGGAGAAACATGTATGTAAGCAGTGTGGAAAAGCCTTTACTGATAAAAGTTCATTTTGCAGTCATGAAAGAACTCACACAGGGGAGAAACCTTATGTATGTAAGCAATATGGGAAAGCATTCAGTAGAAACAGGTATTGCCAAATACACAAAAGAACTCACACTGTTCAGAAACCCTATGTATGCAAACAGTGTGGGAAAGCATTCACTTATGACAGTTCACTTTATAAACATAAAAAAAAAGATACTGCCAAACAGAATACAGAGGGTCATCAAGAAGATCATACACCCTGACCAAGTTGGATTTATCCCAGGGATGCAAGGATGGTTCAACATATGTAAATAAATAAATGTAATACACTATATTAACAGAGTCAAGGACAAAAACCACATAATCATCTCAATAGATGCAGAAAAAGCATTTGACAAAATCCAACACCTATTCATGATAAAAATGCTACAGAAAATTGGAATAGAAGGCCTTTATGTCAACCTGATTAAGGCTATCTATGAAAAACCAACAGCCAACATCATACTAAATGGTCAAAAACTGAAAACTTTCACACTAAAATCAGGAACAAG